AGATCAGGACAAATGTGACATAGTATCGGCATCAAGTTACCACAATTTCTTGTCTGGTTCCAAGAAAGTTTAACTCGTTGCAGATTAATCGGGATTTCAGTTTTTAGCTATGTCAGGCAATATAGGCCACCTTCAAGGAGCACTATATCTTGTGCCCAAGAACGTTAGGCAGCTCTTGGGTCCCAAAGGTATCAAAAAAAAATTACAAGGTAACCATCTAAACTCCATTTTACAGAGTGCACCACAATAGTGTCCTTGCTAACAAAATGATTATAAATAATCACCAACAACAAAAAATTAAAGGCATTACTTTAATCAGTTTAATTTAGTGCAGCATTTAAGGTATGGTAAGCAGATTTGTACCTTGGACAAAGAGGCCAGTTATACGTTCCCATCTCAGTTATTTTTGGTGTTAAGCTAAGCAAAGCGGCTGCTGGGGTAGCTTTTATAATGTAGCTTATTTAACCTGCAGTGTTGTAATTGAGGAATTTGGAATTGGGATTCTGCCTTTTATTGTGCTTTTTAATAAAATGAGTTAGGCTGGAGACCAACCAAATTGAGGTTTTGATAAAATGTGATTTTTTTATTGGCGAGTTGATCTGCAGATATATTCCATCATGGGGTTACATCTGTGAAGCACCGCACCTTGATAAACCACTGTAATACAGGGGAAAAGCCTATTCATTCTCCCGATGAAAAGGCCTTCTATATGGGGGAGTACAACCACCCTAGAATGAGGAGTGAAAAGTGGAGGGTGGGCTGGGGGTTGGGGGGGTGGGTGTCTGTGGTATGATTACATCTCTGCTGCCTCACTTCCAGCTCAGGCAGGTCTCAACTGGCTGCTCCAGCACCTTGGCAAGCCTGTCGAGTCAAAACAGCTGACATCATCCCACAGGAAGCCGGGAAGCATTATTGCAAGGTGAGACTTGGGTTAGAAAAATATGCTTTGATCCAAACGGGGGGCCACAAGAAGGTCTTTCCAAAAATCCTAACACCTGAGTGGTGACGGTGCAGCTGACTTTCAAAAGACCAAAAGATGTCGGCGATGGAATAGCTTTTGTGAAGTCCAGGCCACACAGGAAAACTATGGATTAATGTGTGTGGAAAGTCTCCAAGATTGGGGATATATACGGTGTAGGTATGAAGATACAGAATAAAAGATACTATTCCCAACGGTAAAGCGCACTGAAATCTGGTCATGCATCAATATGAGATATATGAGAATAAGAGATGAGTAAAAACAGTGAGACTTACTATCTAGTCCTTTTAGATCAGTTTAAGTAAAGCATTCATCTTTCCACAGTAGTGAGCATCTGTATTTCATGTGACTAGACTGCCACCATGTGGCCATCTATGATCACTGCATCACAACGCAGCTTGTGGTTTCCTAACTTAATTTAATCCACTGCACTGCACTTGCTCCTCAAAAATAACAACAACAACAAAAGAACTGTACAAGAGAATATACACATTTTGTTGACATGGGTTTATCCTAATTTTAACATGATTTACCTTTATTGAAACACCTTCCATTTTAAAACCACACAACAAATAAAGACATCAAGTGGTAGTTTGAGTACACCGGAGAAAAGCAACAACGACCAGCATTCCGAGAGCATAAAATGTCCCTTTCTTTGTCCTTTAATCCATGATCCACTGCTGGAAAACACTGTCTTGGCAGCTTTTGTTGGTTCTAAGTGCAGCTGGTACGTTAAGTGCATGTAGTCGACAATTTAAAAATGAGCGGCCTCGGATGTGATGTGTAGGAATTCCAAATGTTCTTCCTGATTCGCTCCCACTGCTCCCAGTTTGTACATCAAAGCTCCCCGTGTGAACTTGTGGTCGTCTCGGATGCTTCTGACTCGTCCTCTTTTTCTGGTAAGAATGGAAGCATCACTGAATAAGTAATTATTCATATTTTCACTTTGATTTTATTGTGATCCTGTTTGAGAAATTATATATAACATAATATGTTTTCACTACTGTGATAGGCTACTGCTAATACACAACAGTGTATGAAACCAGTGTTTAAACCGACACCAATCCGTACCTGGCTGTACCGTTTGGACACACTGGCCATCTTGCTCCTCATAGCCACTCGAGCAGATGCACACGTAGCTTCCTTTAGTGTTGACACACTCCTGGTGCTCCTCAGTGCATACGGACTCTGGCTGGGAACACTCGTCGATGTCTGGAAAACACAACACTTCTGATGAGGTCACCACGGACAGAAAGCTTTCCCCAATAAGTGGTAAATAAAAGCAAAAGGGTCGGACACACACACTGTAGAAATCACAAATGTGTGTATCCAAAGCCCGATGTATCTTTTCAGAATTTCGGAATTTCAGTCCGAAGACTATTTAAATCCATCACTGAGCCACACTGTTGCACTGGGTGACATGGTCCTTTATTATGATGAAGTGTCCTTTATATCGGATCGATCACATAAGCCATAAATACTTACTAGCATGTATAAAGCAATCAATGCACAGCTGAAAATAGTCCCCCCAAAAAGCACTATTTACTATTGTTTGCTAAAAACTGCAGCGCTCTGCTGTTACTATTTATTCAGCTACATATATTTGTGGCCTGTTTTACAGACTTCATGCTATTTGTTGAGAAAGTTTTACAATCACATCAGACTTTATTATCTTCAATATTTCCTCTTTTGAACTGTGCATACTGCAAAACACAAGCTGAATTAATATTACATTTCTGATTAAACATTGTGATTAATTATGTGCACCAATGGAAGAAAGGATCCTCTATACCTACAAAGACATTTTGTAATAATTTAAAGTACAATTTGTTTTGAAAACACTGGTCCTTGGCTCACAAATTCTTCTAAAATCCCAAAACAGCATGAAGAGTGAAGCCCTTCCAACAGTGAATCATTTACATCATACCTGTGCAGGTGCCCTCTGTGTCTTGATACCCGCTGGCACACGCCTGGCAGTTATTGGGGCCAGCTCCAGTGCAGCCAGCGCACACTTTGTCACAGCCTGTGAAGGACGAATACACAAACAACGCTCTATTACACGAGTATCACAAAATATATGGACAGCAGTATGTTTATGAAATATCATGATGCATTTGCGTTTAAGTTTACGGCCCCAGTTTTCATAAGAAATGTTTCGAATACTCCAACCATAGTAACACTTAACAAGCAGAAAATATAGCAGGAATATACTTTACACCAGCGTTGTTTTTTCCTACAGTAGAGGAGTTACTGTTGTGTCCAATTATTACAGATCATAATGTTGTGTGAAACAGAATGATTCATTACCTTTGCAGGAGTAGGAGCCGTCCGTGTTCAGGCAGTATTGATCCTCTGTACATGGAGAAGGCTCTGCAGAGCACTCATTTACATCTGTAACACATGAGAGGCAGTGAGGTATAGATGGCGTACACACAACATGATCTACTGAGCATTCTTTATGCATTTTACCATTTTATATCAAATATGCCTGAAGTGGTCCGTGTTTGTTTTACATACAGTGTGATTAACTGGCCATCCTGCATGGTTAATATAGAATTGTTGCAGTTTCTATAGGGGACACGTTCTTCCTGTGCAGGCATTAATATTCACTTTCATTTATATTTAACTCCAAGAAGAGTTTTTTTTTTAATAAAATCTTTTCACATTACATTAAGTTTTAGCCATTTTCCTTGACACACTAAACTCCTATTTTAACATTAAAATTGTATTTTGGTCTGGAATCAATAATAGAGACAATAAGGCAAGAAACTATAAGAAAAGTCAATAACCCAAATACCACATTTGAAAACAGTAACGCAGCATAAAGATTTCTGCAGGTGCGAGCCGAAGTCGCAGGGTATTGCTGATCAACCTTTTCAAACTTTCTACATGTCTGTGCAGGTTTTCAATTCCTCACTACAGCTGTTCCATTAATTCACCCATTTAACTGAAATACAGGGATTGTGTTTTACACTGGTCCTCAGTTTTTTCAACATGTGAATTCCTCTCTAATCACATTGACTTTCTCTCATTTTACTCAACTTCTGGATACTTTAAGGTAATAATTGATTGTATTACTATTACAGTGATGTGAGCCGTTTAAAAGTGGACCAAATCTATATATTTTAGAGTGTTTCATTTAATAAACAGTGACTTTGTTGATACATGGTATGTAGATACGTTTAAAATTCTTATGGCTCTCTTTTGAAGTAAGAAGATTTGTATTCCCCAGACAGTAAGTTATATGTGGAACTATGAAAGGAACAGTACAGGCTTTACAATGAAGCTTTATTTAGAAAATCCTTAATTTTATACAGTATTGTAATTGACTTGGAAAGTTTTGCTGCTTTATTACCATTTTTGTAAAATCAATATATCTATATATTACATACATTTTAAATAACACTAATAAAGCAGAATACATTATTATCATCTGCAAATAGAATCCATTTGAATATACTACATGGAGACTTTTTACTGGTCCACTTACCAACACAAGCTTCCTGGTCATCCTCCTCCCATCCTTCTTTGCACTCATCACAATCCTGGTTGGTTGCTCCAGTGCAGGTTTTGCAGGACGTGTGGCATTCTGCAGGAAGAGGTGAAGCCCGGGTTCAGAATGACGACAGACATGCTGCTTTCCTCTTGTGTGTTGTTCAGCTGTGTGTGTGTGTGTGTGTGTGTGTGTTGAAGTGTACCTGTGCACAGAGAGAATGTGTCATTCCTCACTTCGTTGAAGTAGCCGTCGATGCAGTCCAGGCAGAACTCCCCTTTATAACCGTGGTCACAGCTGCACTTTCCGTCCCCTCCGCGAGTCCCGTCGCCGTCGCACATTCCGTTTCCGTGACAGGGTCTGTCGGAGCCCCCCACACAGGCTGCAAAGAATACAATCAGAACGACAACACAAATACAAACATATTAACAGCGGCACTGCTGCCACAGGTTCCTGGGATTATTGGTTTCTGTATTATTTTTGAGCTACAGTACATCTCGTCTGCCGGAACTGAGAGGATCCTCCTCACCATTGCAGTCCGGTCCAAATGTTCCCTTTGGACAGCACACTTTGACGGTTTCAACGCAGAACCATTTATGCAGATCAGGATGTTTCGTTTTCCTGTATTGCAACAGGAAATCAGACAGGAAGAGATTTACCACATTTTACCAAGTGAAACAACCTTCTCACAAACAAATAACTCTGAAGGTGTCCCTAGTCAGGCGAGCAACACCCACCTCTTGAACCACCAAGTTTCAAAGTGCTCTTCGTGCTCCTCCAACATGCGGTTGCACTCGAAGCTGCTGCTGTCACACAGCCCCTCCACGATCTCCATCAGCCGGATCTCGCTGCGAAGGAAGCATGAGACAGAGATGAAGTTTAAAAAGGGGTTGGGAGTAGAAATCAGCATATGCCGCCGCACAGACTGTGTGATGATACAGGAAGTGTTGCGTGGAAAGTTGGTTCAATTCTATTGTAGCAGCCGCTCAGGCACGCAGTCAGCTATAGATTCTAATTCATAGTGCTTATCTAAAACTTTTCTAAGGCGCTTCCCGTGCCAAGTACGACGGCCTGCTGGCTCTGGTGCAAAGCAAACACAGCTCTGACGGCCGGCTCTTGTGGCAGGGTGACCTGCAGTTTGGACAGGACAGGCTTGCACCGTCTCACCTCGTCTCATATTTAGACAGTTTTCTCTCCTCCCAGGCTGTGTTGCCTCCGCCAAAGTTCTGCTTTGCTGTTCTGTCAAAGCCCTAAAATATACAAAAAACAGTGTCATTGTTCGCACAGAAACAAACAGGGAAGGGTCTGAGAGAAGTGAAAGACCTTTCAGGCATGTGGCACCATTGAATGTAGCAGGACAAACTCCCAATATGAGAGCAAGATAGCAGTGGAAATGAAAAACAAGACAAAGGAGAGGTGTAGAAACGTCCTCTCACCTTGTTGAAGTTCTCAGTCATTTGCTGACAGGTAGAACAGGCGCTTTTAAAATCCCTCTTGGCGTTGGTGACTTGGAAAAGTAAAACAAGAGTTACACAAGACAATAGCAGCAGTGGCCGCAGCTGTGGACCGGTGGACAGCATCTCAGCCGACCAGTGCACACACTCTCATATCAGGACACACACAGCAAGCTAATGTGAAAGTGCTGCACGGTTCGGGCACATCTAAATGAGCCGCTCTTAACATTAAATCTACGTTAGCGTTATCTATGCAAAGCGCAACAAAGTGGTATTTACATGCCGGGTGTTTGGGGGGGGGGGGGGAAAAAAAAAAACGATGCGGCTTTAGATTTCCGCGTCAGGCTCTTGATCGAATTGTGGCTTGCGCTGATTCGCCCGGATCGCCTGTCAATCAAACGTAGAACCAATCACAAGCCGCCACGCGCGGGACAAAAAGGTTCTTTCCCACGTGGAAATTTCAGGAAATTTAGTGTTTGTGTTTAAAATGATTTTGTTTTTCCTGTTGGGTGAAGTGTTTGATAGCATTTTTAAACACTATCTTAATTTTGTTACTATAAAAATGATATAAACATTTTCAGCGATATGGAAGCGTGTGGCGCGGTGCGTTTCCTGTCTTGACCGGAAGTGATGAAAATCCCTCAGCTGTCATGGCTGAAAAGAGGAATGTTTTGGGACTGCCACTGCTGTTTTTACTCATAGCTGTGGCTCTCCTGCATTTATTCGTTTGTCCGTTTACTAAAGTGGAGGAGAGCTTTAATTTACAGGCGGCACACGACATTTTGTATCACAGACTCCACTTGGACAAGGTGAGCAGCTGTTAATGCATACAGGTACTGGGTGTGCTAACAGGCTAACTCCACAGCATCAGTGAATGAAATCCTTTTAAAATCAGACACTGGTGAAAATATTACAGCCTACATACAATGGTTACTTATACTTATGGTTGGTATGTTTTTTTTTTTTAAAGGTTCACAGTTTTATAGCTTCACCATTTAAGGGGGCAAATGTGTTTAAATGTGAAATTCCATAACCTCAAATAAATTAAAATGAACACTTACTGCAATACAAGGTCTTGAGTAAGATCAATGAACTTACTTGCTGTCAAAGAGTTATTTATCATTACCATGTCAGCTAAAAAAATTTAGATTTAGAAACAAAAATGACAACTTTTGTTTGTATAGCCCCAAATCATACTTTCTTTATGTTTTATGAACCCCTCATATTAAGTCATATAAACCTACACTGCAGTATGCTCTTCATAGTATTGCATTTGTTCTCTAAAACATGTAGGTATGAATTGTAATGAGTCACACAATAACAAAAGAATTGACAAAACAATCTCAGCTCAAGAACCGGTGAGTAGTTGGTAGGTAGGTCAGTAGGTGTGGCTGTATTAGTGTTGCTGAGCCCTGAGCCTGTGCTGTCTTTCAGTATGACCATCATGAGTTCCCTGGCGTGGTGCCACGGACTTTCCTCGGGCCCCTGTTCCTCTCCATGCTCTGCTCGCCTGTTGTGCTTCTCTCCTCTCTGCTGGATGTGCCCAAATTCTACACACAGCTGACAGGTAAAGCACTAATATGCCGTTAACAACAATGTTGGCTCGTTGGCGTTAAGCGTGTGTACTCTTGGTGTGTTCCGTGCAGTCCGAGCTTCCCTGGGAGTGTGTGTTATCGGTGCGCTGTGGCACATGCAGAGGGAGGTGAGGAGGCAGTTTGGCTCCACAGTCGCTGGGCTCTTCTGTCTGACGTGTGCTTCTCAGTTTCACTTCATGTTCTACAGCACCAGGACGCTCCCTAATGTATTCGCACTGCCAATAGGTAAGACACAGTGATAAAAATCCTTATTATCCAGAGAGTCTGGATCAAGCTTTAATTTCCCTGAGTAAATCTACAAGTGACATGATGACACAAATGTTTTTTTTTTTTTCCAGTTCTGGTGGCATTCACATCTTGGATGTCTCAGAAATACGGGCGGTTCATCAGCCTCTCCGCTTTAGTCATCATCGTGTTCCGGTCGGAGCTCTGCATCTTCTTGGGTCTCATGTTACTGATATCTCTGCTGAGCAGGAAGCTGGGACTGCTGCAGCTGCTTTACTCTGCGGTCCCTGCTGGGATCTTGTCGCTGGGTGAGCAGTGAATGTACAGTATGTGAATACTGCGAACTCAGTAAACCATAAATTGTGCAAACGTGTTAACTTCCTGTGCCTTTTCCAGCTCTGACGGTGGCCATCGACACCATCTTTTGGAGGAAGCTGCTGTGGCCTGAAGGTCAGGTTTTGTGGTACAACACCATTCTCAACAAAAGCTCCAACTGGGGAATATCCTTTCATTTACCCGAGTACACTCTCACTCTTTTTGTTAATTTGCTATCACTGAAACTCACGAAGGATCATCTCCACCCCCCAGTTCTTCCTTGACTCTCTTCTCCCCAGTAAACCTCTCCCTTTCTGTGGTACTTTTACTCTGCTGTGCCCCGCGCTCTGGGCTGCACGCTGCTCTTTGTCCCGCTCGGCCTCCTCGACAGGCGGATGAGGCTGCTGCTGCTGCCCACCGTGGGCTTCATCCTCATCTACTCGCTGCTGCCCCACAAGGAGATGCGCTTCATCATATACACTTTCCCTGTGCTCAGCTTGGTGGCTGCCCGAGGCTGTTCTTTCATGTAAGACGAGACGTGTAAAAATATATACATGCATTTGTATCAGTCAAGAACAATGTCCAACATTAATCAGACACTCTCATTGCTATATATGCCAAATATGACCTATAGAGTAAAGAAATTGGCCGACTGGAGTGCACAACCAGCAGCAACATACAGTACTAGCCACTTGACGTGACTGGTGGATGTCATTTCTCGCTCTTAAAATAGATTTTTCCAGATATTGATATCAGTTCCATCGTAAGTGTGTGAGATTAGTTGCTCCTTTATGTGAGACATTGCAAAACGGTAATGCTGACTTTCTTGTTCTTTAGTTTGTGCAACTACCAGAAGTCCTGGATGTATAAACTGGGCTCTGCGGTTGTGGTTGGCCAGCTGTTGACCAATGCAGCATACTCCAGCATTTGTCTCTATGTTTCCCACCACAACTACCCAGGGGGAAGAGGAATGCAGGAACTACACAGACTGCTGCCAGTCACAGCAGGTCAGAATCACTTTCAGCACATTTTCAGTTTCTTCTACAAGAAATCAGAAACACTGTTAATTATTGCCACCTTAAGGAGCTAATAAGTCAATACTTATTGAAGTTTTAATAATCGAAAATGTGTCTTAGCCTTTTAGTTTAGTTTTTGTTATTACAAAAATAATGTGTACTGATATAATTAATCTTTAAAAACATGCATAAAGGTTTGTGTTTTGTTTTTTTTACACAATGCCTTTGTCCCCTCAGATGTCTTTGTTCATATTGACACCTACGCTGCTGAAACTGGAGTTTCTCGCTTCTTGGAGCAGAACAGAAACTGGAGGTTAGTGTATTTTTTCTTATTTCATTGTTTCGGATTAAAGCTTCTCAAAAACAATGCACCCAATGTAATCCCTTATGCTATTTTTCTTTTTACAGATATGACAAACGTGAGGACCTGAAGCTCAAAAATCCTGAGATCAAAATGTACTCACACCTACTGATGGAGGCCAATGCCACCAAGATACAGCTGCTCCAGGACACTCATCGACCTCTCGTCTTCATAGAAGGTTACAGCAGCATCGCCTTCAACATGTTTCACTTCCCTCCCGTCAGTGTGCAACTGGAGAGAAAAACTGTGCTGATGGAGAGAAAGACTCCCACTGAGCTACAAAATGAGTGACTTAACAGGAATGATGTGTTGGATTAAGGAGTCATGATTTCTTAGTGACCAAAATCGGACCAATGGTGACCGAAACAAGTGTTCTTAAATGTTCTAATGGGGAAGATTGGAATTATAAGGGTATGTTTTCCAGGTATGAAAAGAATAACACATGTATCATGTCACATTCACAAACTGACAGGCTGCCCGAGTAGATAAATATATTGCATTGAACTGTCTTGCACCTTTTCTGATGTTTCAAATAGTTCTCTATTCTTCATGCTGATGTGTAATGCATTGCAGTTCCCATGTACAGCAAGGAAAAAATAAAATGTGTTCTTACAGACAAGGACATTTATCGTAGACAGCTTTGTATTTTTTACCTCAGGTTGTGATTTTTATATTTTTAGACGAATAAAGCTGAAACTGAGTGGAGGGAATAAACCGATTTCTAAATTGGACTTCATTTTTTTGTTTCAAGCCTGCACGTGACTGATAATTCTGAACATTAAAACCTATCACTATACGAAAAAACACCCTCTGCAATATTGCATAAGGAAAACCTTTATTTACAAATGACCACAAAATTTGCATGGTTCCAGTCTCAATGCTAAAACATTTATCAAATTAGGTTCAGAAGTCATTTAATATAAAAATGTACAGTACATTGTTTTACTCAATAATAAACCCATAATTTAATCCCCTGGACATAAACTTAAATTGTGCTTAAGAGACAAATTGTATATTCCAAACAAACTGCTTATTCTGAAAATACAGCAATATTATACATGATCTTATTAAAAACATTTCAGCAAGTAAAAAAAAAAAAAAAATCTATTTCTAAATGACAGTACCATGAGCCACAAATTCACAATGAAAATTAAATAACATTAACTTAAAACATCTTTCAGTCACAGCATTTATTTTTGGGCTATGTTTTCGTTAAGAAAACAACTCTGCATCTATCTTTAATACATAGTAATTGAAAAGCATCCTGACGTGATCTGCGCAATTTAACAAAATATTTACAGCATTTTGACCTGAAGTAGTTTTGGATAAGGCACAAGGAGAGAGTAGACACGGAAAAAACAAAAACATCGATTTACAAGCAAACACGTATCACCAACCCCTACAGCTAGAAAAACCCTCCCTCCCTGATACACTTTTGACTGAGACTTCTCATCACAACAGCTCCAAAGTGTTTAACAGTAGTACACAGAATACAATAAAACCTCCAAATCTGGCCTTTGCATTGAGAATCAATGAATCAGTGTAAAAATTGATATTTTACATTTTGCCCAACAGAAAACCCCATTTCACAGCTATTCAACTTGGTCCTTGATAAAAAGGGTTTTCAAGTTAATGGTCAACAATAATCAGTACTGAAAATAAATCAAAGGGAGGTTGACCTTGAGGAACAGCAGACCCTCCATGTTTTCCAGTAAAGGTCTGGGCTGATTTAGGGCACAGTTCACACTAGCTGTGCTGAACAGTGTCTCTGCTGGGATGATGCTGGGAGGACAG